TCGCCGAATATACGTACGTGTACAGGAAATTAAAAATGATTAAATTCAATTTCCAAGAGGATAAAATTCCCTACAACTTTTGTATAAAACATTTTCTTCGAAACCAAAAAGTGAGTTACAGGTTTAAAAAATAAGTATAAATAAAACAAATAAAAAAGCCTTTTTTATTTCTCCAACATGAGTACACGCGTTTGTGATAATATAATTAACCTATAATAAATATAATAATTATTATTACAAAAAAATTATTATTTATCTCAGCCAGCGGCAGCACCTTAATGGCTCTAGAGTTGCGCTCTCCCCAGAAAGAGCTCGGGAAAAGTATTAAACTAGTAATAAATCGACTTTTTTAATTTGTGCGTACCACCAGCGCAATTTTGAAGACGAATTTAGTTTTAGCTCGCTTAAGCGAAAGATTATTGTTTTTGGAATGGGTAGCATCGTGGACTATCGCGAGTCCGTCCGTAGTTGGTGCATGTGAGGCAATGGAAGCTTGACGACGAGGGGTGGGGGCAGCGTGCGACTATATTGCGATTTTCACAACTTTGCCCCTCGCAGTTATCAGCTGTTGACAGTTTCATCCAATCGGAAGCTTGAACGTCACTATGGTGACATTCAAGTTTCCGATTGAATGAAACTGTCAACAGCTGACCTGCCAGGGGCAGAGCATTATAGTAGGGTTTTGTTCAGCAGAGACAGCGTCTATTAACTAAGCTAAGAATCCCTTTCATAAATTACTGTTTTGTTTGCTGAAAATAGTTTTTAAAAACTTTAATTTTCCCATTAAAGTTCCGATGAGTGCAAATCGGTTGTGCACCTCATGTTATAGTTTTCTTCGTTCAAGGAATACGTTGAAGAGGTGAAATCAGTGTGATAGCCATGCCGCCCCTCCTACTCCATAACCCACTAGCCGCCACTGGTCTCACTGTCGGTTTAAAGATTGCGTCAGAAATGTACCCATTGTCGACTATATTGATACGTCAAAACAATTATGGATGTGTATTTGTGTGCGTATTCAGGCCTAACGCGGGAACAATGGCATTTCAACAAAACTCGATGTACATTATTACTCGGAATTACAATAAGGGAAAATAATACCATAGGTGTGAGAGGGTGGATAAAAAGGGAATAATATTTTTAAAAATCATTATGCAACCCGCTATGCACATAATCCGTGTAATGCGAACTGAGCTGATAGAATGGCTGTAATGGGGAAGACTGTTTAATATATGATTATGATAAATACACTCATTATTATAGGGAATAAAACTTCCTACTTTTGTTCATATATAATTTTACGAATTTGCAAAAACAATCACGAGTTTCAACGATTGTGAGGCTTGAATCGTTCTCGTAAGTGCCCTACATGCGTTATCAGGACAAAATTTAATCAAAACATTTGGTTCCATATCCATAGAAAGTTGTTAAACAAAATTAAAAATTATCTTATTTTAAGCAAAATTACGTGAAGTGCATTTAACTTTTCGAAAAAGTTAACATAATCTTATTGCAACCGTACGCAGGACACCAGTATAATAAATTTTTCGTCAATAAACATTTTTGTTTAGAAAATATTTTTTTTGTAAATAAGTAATTATGTATTTTTGTAGTTAAGTAATCTTCGATTTACAAAATATGAATTAGAAAAATAAACAATTTTATGAATCATCCGGAAGCAATGGATAAAGGGGGTACAAAAAATTTAGAAGAACTTAAAGAGGCAGAAAGATTCATACCCGAAAGAAAATGGAACATAGCAATAGTATAAACAGGTTTTTAAAGAGTTGGAATTTCGATAAAGCAGGTGAACCAGACAGCGATGAACTTTGATGAACGCGACGATTTCAAAAGCACAATTTTCAGACCTTAGAAAAGTACCAAATTAGAATAAATTTAACGAAAATATAAAAGGTTCCAAAAGACATCGATGGCAGATGAAAGCGAGCGTTGTTGTTTTATTGAAAAAAAATAGAAATTTAGACTGATTGAAGAAAACACAAAGGGAGGATAGATGCCGAGGCGACAACACGAGTTGGCTGGCAACAAGTTCTGGCAATTTTCTAGTTTTGGAGAGAGTAAAATTAATTATCGGAGAGAAGGCGTGATGGAGTATGCGCTGACTTCAGTAATTAGATAGTTGATATTCAATGGAAGCATATGTTTTGCGTAGAAACGCATAGGACGCATAGCGTTAATGTGGAAATGGTGAGCCCAGCTGCCGGAAGTGTATGGTGAAATGGTGGATGGAGCAAATTCACGGGCTGGCGGCAACATCATCATATTCAGGGAAGTGGACATCCCCAGATATTACCTCGCGAGTACAGAATATATATTTATGAGAAGGCAAAGCACTAATAAATTTGGTAAATACCTTGAAATAACGTGGATGGCCATCAAACTAATAATGTGCACAGTATGAATGGGAATTGTGTAAATATTTTTTGTTAGTAAGTATGAATGTGAAGTTAGATTCTTCACATGCTAAAAAATATTATTAGAAACCATTGGACTGTCATGAATAAATACACCACCATCTCCCTAGGTCAATTTTAATACATTTAAGAGCTATTTTAAATAATAACTAATTTTCTTTTGATTACAAATTTTACCTACAAACCTTTGGATTAGCAATGGAGTCCCTTATCTCTTCTCTATTTACCAACCTAATCATGGAACAAGTAGAAGTCAACTTCTCCCAAATTTACTTCCATGTATTGCTTTGCTATAGGTTCATGGATAACCTGATTACATGTTTGCATCAATCTAATACTGACACTTTGGTGGGCATACGTAATACATTCCACCCCAGATTAATCTTTACCATAGAATTGGACAACATAATAGGGAAATACGCTTTTTAAATCTTAAATTAATAGTCAAAAAATAAAATTATAACTAACTGGTATAAAAAAGCAACGTTTTCAGGAGGAGTTCTAAATTTTCTGTCCAAGCATTCCAAAAATCAAAAAGTGGCCATGGTATACAATCTTGTACATTCCGCACTGAATTTGCCTAATCCTGGATTTCATTACAAAAGTCTAGTGATAATCAAAAATGTCCTTAGTAACAATCTTTACCTATTAATATTTATTAATAAATGCATTCAAAATATATCATCATCATCATCGACAGCAAGGATTAGACCTCTTGGTCTGTTCCGTCTCAGAACTGTTCATGCCATCTCTTCAAGGGACGTCCTACACTTCTTTTTCTTTTAGGTACATATTGAAGAATAGTTTTACTTATTCTATGTTCTGGCATTCTCAGGACATGACCTTTCCAATTTTCTCGATATTTCTTTATGGTATCTATAACTGGTACAACATTTAGTTCTTCTCTGATATCTACACTTTTTTTGTGATCTAATAGTGAATATCCTGCCACAAAACGAAGAAATCTCATTTCTGCAGATTCAATTCGGCGCAGCTGATCTGATGTTAATGTCCAGCTCTCACTTCCATAAAGTAGTAATGGCAAAGCAATAACTTTGTAAAATCTGAGAAGAGTTTCCTTTTGCGCATTATGATGTAGAGTTCGCTGTAACGTTCCACAGAAATATGTGAAGTTGTTCAACTTTATTTCCATATCCCTTGATTTTATATAATTAAAATGGTATCCAAGATATTTAAATTCATTTACTTGTTCAATTATTTGGTCATATATAGCTATCAAAATATATCTAACACATAATTCCAAAAAAGATACCAGCAGCAGTAATTTTCGAATTCCATTACCATTTTACGAAACAGTTAACAGTAAAATGAAGGCCTACTTCAGAAAATACAATTTACAAATTTTGTTTTACAACTTAAATAAGACCAGCCATCTATACGACAAACAAAAAGATAAATCCATAATGGGAGATAAATCCAATGTAGTCTACTTTATTCCATGTAATGACTGTCAAATGTATATATTGGAGAAACCAATATATACATGTTCGAACACTGTTCACTCCATAATGCCCTGAATTTACAAGATTGTACTGTCATTTCTTACCGTATCTTGTCATGGCCTGCCCACCGCAAATGAGGCATGAATTATTGTAACCGCGAAGTTGGATGCCACCTTCATCGTTTTTAGAAAACTTTCATCATGTAATAAGTCAAACTATGATGTAAGCGCCAAATTGTATACAGTGATTTTAAAGTTTTTTAATTCCTTTGTTTTTATTATGTTAAACTGTTTTGTCTATGCTATCGTCTATCGTTTTTCATTATCTATATTGCTCTTGACAAGGGACATGCTGAATGTGCGATATTTTGAGCTATTAGTATATGTATAAACTACAAAAGTCTTAATTACTGATACACCTAATATTAATCCTGTATGGTTCACATCTGCTTAAAGCTTATCATCTATTTACAATGTAATAATAATAATAATTATTATTATTATTACTATTGTTATTATTATTATTATTATTATTATTATTATAACTTAAGGCAAAATTAAACGAATCGAAATAATCCACTGGACCCAACTCAGTGATGCTACTAGCGCGATCTCATCACGTGACGTGTTAGAATAGCGCGTCTCTGTGCTGTGAAAATGCTCAGTCATTCTTGCGGAGGAAAGTTTTCTTTTCCAGAGTTCTCTACAGAGTGCGGAGCGAATGTGGGTATTTTCCACTGTACATCTTCAGAACATGAAGCAACGCAATTGGCTCTTTTGTGTCACGTGAGCCATGATATGTCTGATTTCGTGCGTACCACGTGACGCTGACTCCCAGCCGCCATTCGCTAATCTTTATCATGTGACCCACGCTGTATCTGATTTCGTATGGACCATGTGACTAGAACACTCCAGAACACGAATGAGCGTACAGATAATAATGCATAGTCACGTTCTCAAATGAAATTACCTACGTATTTTCAAAACGTACTTTAGAGTGAGCTGAAAGGGTATATAAGCCAGCACGTGTAAGATACACAATAGTTCGTTCTTCATAAAGAGAACTACATCTCAGGCTTAAACAAGCTACTACAGAAGTAGAAAAAATGGTTCGGCCAGTCTTTTATCACATGCCAGAAAGCCCTCCATCGCGAGGGGCTTTGCATGTCGCCCGAATGCTGAATGTGGATGTTGAAGTGAGGAACATAGATCTGTTTACTGGGGAGCAGCTGAAGCCCGAATTTATCAAAGTGAACCCCATGCACACGGTTCCTACGCTTGATGACAACGGCTTCGTAGTTGTGGACAGGTGAGCATTTGCCTCAAAGGCCCGCAAGGACAACTGCATAGCTGCAGAATCTCTTTTATTTTTTCACTTCAGAAATCTATGTCTGTATATGAAGTGTTCGCCTCTTATGGGCTTAAATGTAACCTGAGAATGACGTCATTGTCATTTAGCCGAACATGAGCTTAAACACTGATCAAAAAATTCGTTGGTGTCATCTTTTTCGACCAAAATTGTAAACTTACATAATATTTGATAATTTTGATACAATATTTTGTTTTATTGCCTCTGTAGTTTTCCTCTGTAGTCCGCTCACTGCAATACAGCCGCGATCAAGCGACATCTAGCAGTACGGCCGAGAAAGACTCGAAAAACGGTGACATAATGCTACCGTGAAGTAGGGCCTTGAGGGTCAGAGTTATAAAAACACACTATAGTTCATTGATTGATTACTAGTAATTCCTTGCTCATCAACTGCTAAGGTCATTAGCCCTGTAAGTGTAGTGCATGTTTTTACCCGGGAGGTGGCGGTGATCTTGCCCAGCTGGATGGCGAGATCCGGCGCCGGTCTAGCGTCGGCTAGCGGGATTTTCCTTAGCCAGGAATTTACCACCAGCGGGGCACCGACCCAGCCGGGCAAGCTCTAAGCTCCCGATCGGTCTCCTCGCATGTGTAGTAGTGTAGCGCGTGCGAGAGTAAGTGTGTGCAAGTTGGGGTGAGGATAGGACAAAGAATGGGAAGGAAAGATCGCGCGCGGTCCGTGGCCCGTTTGTTAGGGTACTGATCTGGCACTCGCCTAGTGGTTATCGGAGAAACCACAGAAAACTACCGATCAGTGCAGCCGGGCGCTAGAATTTTCCTTCAGATAGCGAAGGACGCGGCCTAGCTATCTGGATAGTGTCGAAAATCCTGCCACCGGAGGAACTCGACCCTAGGACATCCCGATCAGAGGCACTGCAGTCACATCAGTTGATGCCCTTATACAGTTCATTTAGCTCTATCCATTAAAAAAATTGAGAAAAAATGTGGAGCTGTTTTCGAGAATTTTTCCTTTTTTAAATTGCCTTTATTTTACACAAAATGATGCGAAAACGACTCATATTTTGAAAAAATTGTGTAAAAACTCATTTAAATATCTAATTTTGAAGAACAAATTTCATTAAGAAGAAAGATGTTTATCTGCGAGACGACACCAAGAAAAATTAAACTTTTGCTATTTTAGAAAATTTGAAGAATTTAACGAAAAGCGGACCCGCTCAATTTTTATTAGCATACTTTGAGTTTTCTGAGAAAAAAATGAAAGTTGGTTAGCGCAGAAAAGCAGGTTTTACCGGAGAGTTTATGACACAAAAAATTTATCTTGAGCCACTCCTGTTCAATTGCTTGTTATTTCTTGAATACGCATTGCTATGTCGTATTATATCTAATGCTATATATATTTCTTTCAGCCATGCTATAGCTACCTATTTAGCAAATAAATTCGGCAAAGATGACAAACTCTATCCCAGTGAATTGAAAAAAAGATCTCTTGTGGATCAACGTCTAAATTTCAATAATGGCTTTTTGTACAAACGCGTCCGAGATATTGGGGTGAGTAATTCCAAATCGATACGTCGATAAGGATATTCTTTAAGGAAGCAACTGATAAAGCCATACCTTTCATTTTTCATTGGTAATTAATTTCAACCCTTCATTAGACAATAAATAAAATATTGTAACTAACAATACAGATCTGTAACCTTGGTTTAACTAGAAATCTAAGACTCGATGAATAGTATTTAATTTTTCAGGGCCCAGTTTTTTTTTTCGGGAGTAGATATTATTCCTGAAGATTTGAAGGCAAATGCACACGAGGTACTGGGATGGTTGGAAGGATTTCTGAAACCCACCGGCTGGGTTGCTGGTGACAACATCACTATTGCTGATGCAATGTGTGTCTCTTCCGTGACAACTTTTATTGTGAGTTATTATGAATATTATTAGCGGGCATTGAACAAAGTAATCATAATGTCGAATGTGCAGATTTTTTCATTTTGTTTTTCATGTTCAAGTGTATTGGAAGAACTGTTCGTTAAATGGTCCATTTTATGGTCAATGAGAGATGATGATGATGATGATGATAGTCGTAATTTTATTCTAACACAAATTTCATGGGCTGCAATACTGGTACAACACGAAAAATTAAATTTTGAAATAAACGTATTTTCGTAATACTGTCCTGATAATGTATCTGCATAACGCATCCCGACAGAGGAATGAAAATATAATCTTAATGACCGCCGGCCGTTAAGATACCACGTTATCTTGGAACTATTTATTAAACTTCAAAAAGAAATAATAAACAACATAAGAAACTCACACATAGAACTTAAATAACACGTACAAAAGTAATTTTCAACAGTTCATTTTTATTATTCTAATTTTTTAACTTAGTCAAACTTCTCTTTGTTATAAATCTGAATATTGAATTAACAATTATTATTATTATTATTATTATTATTATTATTATTATTATTATTTGTAGTCCTTCATAGAGGTGGAAGGGGCAGATGTCGACGTGCTTGAATCAGTTGATATCTCGTCGAAACTATAACTTCTTAGAAATTGTGATTCTTTTCAAAAACGATTGATCAATATACAAGTATTTTTCTGCCACTGGTGAGGACTCCCAACCTTCAAGTTCTTTCAACGAGATCAGATCGCCAGCGTTTTTAACTAGCATTGTGGCCGATGATCGTCGACAATAATGCTCTGCGTAATGCTCAGAAGAGTCTAATTTTAAAAATTTAGAGGTCGTTCCTCCCTCCTCCTGAGAAGCCGAAACTGGCTGTAAATATTACGCTCGACAACATTTTTTTTAAAGTTAGTTAATTTTGGGAAAGTTGTTCATTATTGAGTGCAAAGTTAAAAGATTTTTATGCTAAAGTAACTTTATTTGCATTGTTGTAATGGAAACGACTGGTGCAAAAAAATCTATTGATTCAATGCTGCAAATGAAAGTCGCTTATGCACAAAAATATCAGTTTTACTAATTTTACTAGTTTTATCTAATTTTTGTCGTGTTACATGACCGTAACTTGTTTTCTAATAGTTCGGTCAAGCGATTCGGCCTCGAGAGACAGTGTCTTGAAACATATGATAACAAAAAAGTGAATACAGGCTGCTGTTTTATAACCCACAAAGAGTATGAATGTTTAAGTCGTGTTCGTGGAAAAGGGGTATGACGGGTCCCTCGTATTTAACGTTTCCCCTGATATTATATACATGTACATGGGTAATTTATACTTGGAATGGCTTGGATTTGGCTTCGTACGCCAAGAAAATGGTACTATAAGCATCGAGATGGGGCCAAATGGGATAACCAAGGGATACCTCAGGACAATTATGCAATGGTCAGAGCAGAGATAGGCCGCTACATTGGTCGAGGAGCGCGAAGCTGTTTTATCTCTGTGAATGCCTCCAGAGGAGCGGTAGGAATGATAGATACCGGCAAATCATCTGGTAAGTCTTTTAGGAAGCTGTTAAAGGATGATTTTAACAATTACGAAAAAGTATGTGCCATTTTGCAGCACCGAGATTTGTCCGATTTAAATATAGTAACTCCCCAAGGTCGAAAGTTGAAGAGAAAGAAGAACACTGTCATCCAGTCGGAAGCTTCAATACCCACAATTTAAGTCATACGAAACTCCAGATTGGATGACAGTGCCCCCTCTCCTTCCAGCCCCCGACCTTGGGGAATCACTCTATTTTAACCCGACATAAGTTTTGAGTTGTGCTAGTGTTGCAGCCCGTGATGTTAAATTAAAACATATATAACACACATATGCACACTTGCACGTAAAATTAATACATTTGCATCATAAATTGCATTAAATTAAATTGCATTTGCATGTCCATAAAGTTGCATTAACTTCATTTACTATGAGATGAAAAAAATATGAGTGTAAACGCACATTTTGATAAGAATTTCCTGAAAATTAATGTTCAAATTACAGGCAGAAGGATGTGATATGAACAAATACCCTCTCATACAAGCATGGATTGCAAGATGCCGCAAGTCGATTCCAGATTTTGATGCGGTGGATAAAACAGGAAACGATTCTTTCCATAAATTGTTCAAAAGCAAGTTGAAACCTGGGCAGATTTAAATTCATTGCTTTAACAAAACCTAATAATAGTTAATACATATAATTAAATTACTTGTCTTTATTGTAAATTGTTAAAAAAAAGAAATATTTTTCGTTTGAAATAAATTGAAATGTTACGATATTATACCATTGAATATGATTTTGTATAATTTGAATTTAAGAATGTAAAATATAAGACACAAAATAGATGTTAAATAAATTACTCTTTCTTTGAAAATTAAAATCTCGTAATGAATAAATCATAATGAATAATTTTATTTTATTTACTGAACTGAATAACGCATTTGTGCTTATGCGCATTTCGAGTACACACCTACACATAGTAAAAAACTAGTTAAGTAATTATTGACACAAATAGTTTAGTTATTATCTCAAATGATGAATGCAGAATCAGATTCTGGCTGGGCAGCAGGTAAGTACAATACAATGCATTACCTTCCGTACATTTCCTTCCATTGATTCTCAACTCACTCACATAGGTTGTTTATTACAAAACGTCACTAAGTTACATTTTCCAAACTTGGAAAATCGAATTTTAAAGTTGAAGCCTTGTAAAACAATATTTAATAAAACATTTTCTCTCATTTTTACCAGTTCATTTATTTGTAAGATTAATTGAAAATATATTTTACACATTATATGTATTAACGAAATTAAGAAAATTTTAACTGTCACTTAGTGATTTTTGCACTATTAGTTCAGAACAGTAACTCATCTGGTGAACATTTAATCGGCTATGGGGGATAGAACAAAAACTATAATTATAATACAAAACAAACTTTTATAATGCTTAAATTTACCAAAATAAAAAAAATTGACAGTATAAAGGAATTAAAATTATTAACATGAAATATTGAAATACTTCAATTATTTTCCTCATTACTGTCATAATATTCTTCAACTCCAGGTTCAGGGGCACAATCCCTCACACTTAATGAAATAGAGAGAAACTGGTGCCTCAGACGAATTTCCCTTTTTTCCCATACTTAATAGCAACAAATTGTTATAGATAGGCTTTAACAAATTTGCAGTCATTTTTGTTGGACGTCCTCTGTATTGAATAATTGGGGGCATTCATTTGGTGAACTTTAGCATTTTAATCCTCAGCCAATTGACCTTCCCTCTAATGTTCATCCTTCACTCTGCAATCAATTTCGAGAAAAGAGCTTTCAGATCGTAAAAATCAGTAAATTTCTATTGATATACATTGTAAGGGGTCGCATCTTTTCTTTACCTGTAACTTCTAGATGCTTTCATAACATTTATCCAGTCTTTTATTGCGTAACAAGAATTTTACTTTCTCGCTACAGAGTAGAGAGAAAGTTATGTAATTCTGCGCGAAATAACTGCGAATTTTTCGCCAGAAAAACTTTTATTGCAGAGCCATTGGAAAGAAAAAGTGGATAAATCCAGTTATTTAGAAAAAAAAATTGAACACATGCTGCAGCCAGAATCCATGTTTTGGGGACCCTTGATACCAAAAAATCAAATGACAGCAAAACGTGTCTGTCCGTCCTCCTGTGAACAACGCTAGCGGCTAATTCGTCCAGCCGATTTTCTCCAAAATTAATCTTCCCCAATCAATCTGGCTGATGTTACGCCCCTTGAATTTAAAACCGAAATTTAATTTTTTTTGGGGGGGGTACTTTACTTGAGGCCCCTGGAACATTTCCAAATTTTCCATGGCTCTATCGCTTTCGATTTTTTATTGTAAATAGTAAGTAAATAAAAAGTTTTGTTGTAAATAAAAAGTGTGTAGAACGTTCAAGAGAATGGTGTATGTCTCATTTTCGTTGAAAACTTTGATTTTCCAAAAATTCTATATTGTTTCGGCGACTTCATACAACTACTGTTGTGAAGATATATATTTTTCTCTTCATAAAATCTGTTCCTTAAAGATATATTGAAATAAGTTTGTGTACAATTTTTTGAAAACTTGAGTACTTTTCGCGTAATTTTGCGTGAAATTACGGGCGAGAAAGTAAGTGATGTATTACCACCATTAGTTTAAACGTACCCGAATACCCCGGCGGCGACTCGTACATTCCAAATTCATTCTCGAATCGCTCGCCAGAGCGCGCAGAGAGGAAGCAAGTCAAAGCGGAGCAGCGGGCGGTGCCAGAGAGAGTTGTGTTTACTGGGTGGAGCTGCCTCGCGTCCCACGAACGAGAGTTACGCAACGCCACAGCCCAGCTCGGTCGAGGTCGCGCTGTGTGACGCGACGCTTTAGCGGTCACCGCCCCCGCTTCGTCTGGTCGCTCTGCATCGGCGCAGCATCGGCGTCAGTTATAGCGCGAGAGGGTGAAACCATGGCTCCGCCCGTTTTCTACCACATGCCGTTCAGCCCTTGCTCCCGGGGCGCTCTGCTTGTTGCGCGAATGCTGGGCGTGGAGGTGGAGGTGAGGAACGTCAACCTGTTCGCCGGGGAACAGCTCAAGCCGGAGTTTGTCAAGCTCAACCCACAACACACCATTCCCACGCTCGACGACAACGGCTTTGTTGTGGTTGACAGGTTAGTAATCCTCTTGTGCTGTAGGTGTGACTTAACTCAATGTATGATGTATAATTGTTTAAGAATTTCTGTATCCTTCAAGTGGTCTAAAAAAGTACTTACTGCATCGCTTTTTTTTGCTTTCCTCGTAGAACATATATATTTTTTTTCCAAAACGATTGATTAATTTTCCGTGTGCGTCCGCTGTCAAATTAGTCTCGTAAGTGCAGTGCATGCTTTATCGCGGAAAGTGGTGGTGATCTTCGATAGCTGGCTTCGGTGCCGACCTACTAGTCAGGTTGTGGGATTTTCCTCAAGCAGTAGGACACCGCCACACCCTGGATAAGCACTTACCTCTCGAAGTGTCTCCTAACATGTGTAGCAGTGTAGTGTATGTTAAAAAAGACGTGTGTAAATAAAGGGGTGAGAATAGAAGGAAGAGGAACGAAAGATCGCGCCCAGTCCGTACCCCGTTTATTAGGGACTGCTTCAATTTTCTTCACGTTCTTAGTTAATGTTGTTGGATAATTTCTACGCCTCAATAAGACCTGTAAAAAAGCTTAAATGTAAGAGGATCGTACATAATACTCGAAATATTTATCTTTCACGTTCCTCCTTTGCTTTCACCATGTGTTTAGTGTAAGATAAAGTGTAATATCCTGTCCAAAATAACGTTTAATTATAATAATTTTAGTAAGTTCCATGATAGCGTAGGGCTGGATGAGAGCACACGGACGATTAGAAATTCCATAATCCTATTCATAATAACAATTTTCGTAAATATTTTAAAATGTTTTTATATTGATAAAAGTAGGCAAATTTTAGTATATACAATAATCCTTCAACATATTAGTCAAGAATGAAGATATTTTTTATTTATTTTAATGCTTTCTAAATACTTTCATGTTCTTGTGAAGATCTTATCATATTTTGGAGAAAGGTATTGTCCTAAAATATGCTCATACTTTAAATCGTTCTCTTTAAATATTTAAAAATGAATTGACTGAATAAGTGTTTAAATTAAACCACAATTTGCATAAATAAGAACTATTTGATAGAATTACTTGTTTTGCTTGGTGTTGATAATATTTGCTTAATATTTTGCTTCCGACTCCCTATTTATTCAAAATGCCTTGATTGTTTTATCCAACAATTAGCGAACATTAGCAATCGTAGAGAGTATCCGCCTCTAGAATTTAGATGTTAGAACTGGATTTTGACTGGTCTGGTGCTGTAATGTGGAATCCTAAAACAGCAATACTTCCCTTCTCTTCACGAGTCTAACCTTGTGCAGACACTTTATCATGAGTTATTTTGGTTAAAGTTTAGTATACGGAGAGTTTAAGTTTAGTAACTCTTAGAGAAGCAGCGGCGGGGCTTAAGCCTTAATTACTGTACGTGCTCTAATAGAAATGAATAAAACTTACGGATAGGCGATTTTCATGGTTCGCCCTTCATTTGCTTTGTCCTCGCCGCACTGTATCGTCAATTTACTTTCAAAGGCAAATTTTCTCGCTTCGCTCGCACGGATCCAATTGACGGCAAGGCTCGGGCCTTCGGCCCTCGCGTTCACTATAAACATCCTTGAGTCAATCCAACGCATAATTACCAATTCGCTTTTGTAAGACATCACTTTTCAAGAAAGCCTCCAGAATTCGAACTGCCTAGTTAACACCGGAACGGTGCGAAGTGCCGGTTTAAACGACTTCCTTAGGTAGTACCGTATACTACATTTCAGCCGTTATGTTATTCTATATTTGTTGTAATTGATTTAGTAGGTGCTGTCGATATGTTTTTTAAAAAGGATTAATTCTGGCATTAGCGGTCGTGTTAAAGTTAAAATAATTACTTTCAAAAAATATATATATTTTGTGTAATAATATGTAATTATTAATAAATCAATTTAGAAAGTTGTAAACGGGTAACTTCTCACTTTATTGAAATATTAAATTTGTAAAAGAATATTTTGTTATACATTAAATGCAAACAATAAATAGTTAAGTACTTTTGAAAAGTAGGTGACTTTATATCGAATTTGTACGATCTGCAGTTTACACACTTCTCATTTTCAACGCCCGAGGCTACATCTCGCAGTTACACATTTAGCCTGTTCGATAAAATTGCACTGTCCGTGAACTCTGGAGGTCTTCCTTATGACCCACACTCAACCGCTAGTAACGCGCGTACCGCACAAGGAGTGCAGAGACCCCAGCCTGAAAAGTTCAAAGATCTTAAAATACCAATGTTATCTCTCTAATGAGCTCCCTCAAAACAAGCTAAAGAATGCAGCCTCGCTCTCATTCTGTACGACATGCGAGCTCATACAAAAGCACGCCCATTCGAAAGTGCCCCGAAGAGCGCGCTGGAGTCAGCAGTCTTCCCATAAGAAGGTTCGCGGGTCGCTGAGAGGTCGTAGTGAAAGGCGCGCGGGTCTCCACCTCACTCGAAGCACACGTGGGTGCTCGCCCCACTGGCCGCTGCGATGGCGTCGCCCGTCTTCTACCACATGCCCCAGAGCCCGTGCTCGCGCGGGGCGCTGCTGACCGCGCGCCTGCTCGGGGTGGAGGTGGAAGTGAGGAACGTGAATCTCTTCGCCGGGGAGCAGCTCAAGCCCGAATTCGTCAAAGTGAACCCTCTGCACACCGTACCCACCCTCGACGATGACGGCTTCGTCGTGGTTGACAGGTGAGGAACCGCAAGCGACTGCGTTAGGAATTCGTAAATACGATCGCTCGCTTAGGTCGGCCGTGTTTCCAATTACACATGATGGTATTTCGCCTTCAAAAGAAGGCAAACCATCTTTACGTTACAAGAGCAGACGGTAAATTATAAATGCATATTTCTTGGAAAATTGTGAATGCCAAGGATTAGTCAGCAGTTATTTGACATAGTTTCAGACCGACTTTAATAAATTGCGCGTTATGACTAGAGAAGATTTTAAAATAAGAACGGATCAGGTTTCATCGACACAAGAGCACAAATTTAAACGATCGAGGGAGACACCATTTCCTTACGAGATGAAGGAAAAGGGAATGGAAAAGGAATGTCGAATAGAAAGTAAAAAATACAAAAAATGAATGAAAAGGCAATTGCTACAATCTTAAATTATATAATTAGATAAAACAAACCAGTTTTGAATGAATCTTTTATCATGCCTTGCGGTTTCTCATAATTTTCGCGTTGATTTCATTCCCAATATAACTAATGTGATGCAAAATTTTTCTAGTGTCAGGAAATCCACACATACTACACCACTTTCTGCTGCGTTGCTTTTCTGATGAATTTTGAATCTAGAATATCTAACTAAATTTGTCGAAGCCAAGTGTGCTTTAAAGATGTAAAATAACAACAGTAAAGGAGAAGGGAATGGCCTGAGATAGTGGCTTTGAGCAATAATTATTGCCAATGCTGGTTTCTGACTTGGAGGTCATAGGGTTCGTGTCCCAACGGCAGCGAATTTTATGCTCCAGCTACAGAGTTAGATCGAATTTAGTCGCTGTCTTGAAAATAATGCTAGAGGCCATCTGCTCTGATATAGTTTTCCGTGGTTTCTCTTAATATCAGGCGAATGCTCAAGTTTTAAAAAACGGACCACGGACTGCGTGCGATCTTTCCTTCTCCGTCCTTGACTCCTCCACTCCCCTTGAACACATACAGTATATTCACTACACTTCCACATGTGTCGAGAGCTTAGAGGTTGTCCCCATTGGACAGTGACATCTACCCTTGGTTGTCAGGCAAATGAGACCGCCCGAGGCCCCAAACTTCGAGGCCCCGGCAGGTTCATGAAATGTCATTGACTGATTCAGAACGAGAGTTCCGGATCATCTGTGCATTAGAACATGCCTCCATGTTGCAAAATTCATTTTTTCATCTGAAAATGTAGAAGATACTTACAGCAGCTGCAAAATTGTCAAAATGAAAGTTGTGTGGCTGCAACGAGCATTTTTTCCCTTATAAGTAGTTGATTGTCGATGTTTCCCCACTTGCAAATACTGAGTAAAAACTCTGCAAAGTTGTTTACAGAGTGTAAAACATCTCGAAAACTTGATAGCGTAAAATGTAACCATCAACAAAGCAACAGGAAACTGCTAGATGATGTGAACCCGGCAAATTTCACAAAAAAATTAAATGTAAAAATGCAGGCTGGTGGGTTGCAAATTAGGGGGAGGGGCGGCATTTATGTCCGAACTATCACATGCATTTTACCTTCTCAAATATTTCTTGAACGAGGAAAACTATAGCATGTAGTGTACAACACATCTGTACGCATCAGGATTTTAAACCTTGTCTAAGTCAACTTTTATATTGATAACGGAAGATACTATTGGGCTCGCGCGAAAATAAGAGATTATTTAAAAAACATTTTCAGCAAACAAAATTAGTAAAAAACCGTAATTTATGAAATCGGATGAAAGGATCGGTATTCTCAGCTTAGTTGAGAGGCGCGGTCTGTGCCGAACAAAACCCTATTTACTAGCAGCACGTTGCCCCCACCCATCATCCAGTACCTCCATTCTTCCTCGTGTCAATTGCCTCGCAGGCACTAGATACGGGCGTTGTCACGATAGTCGTAAATGCAACCCATTCCAAAAACATTAAAATTTTGCTTAAGCGGCAGCGATCTCAGTAAATTGGCTCTCAAAATTGCGCTGGTGGTATGCACAAATTAAACTAGTCGATATATTGTAATTTCAATACTTCAGGCAATTCTTCCCGAGGTTTGTTTTTCTGGGGAGGATGCCGCCGGAGAGCCTTTAAGGAGCAGACACCACTGTTAAAATGTAAAAGAAACTTTCATGTTTACTCTTTCTACGCGAGGCCATTTACAAACGAAGTCTTGATGCTGTTACATAAGTCAACAAGGCCGCGTGAAGGTCGCAGACCTTGCCGCACAAGTACAGGCGAGCCGCCTCTCTATCTCACTTCAAACGTTTCCGTTTCCAATGCAAAAGGATATACAAGATTACTGACGTAACATCAAAGGATTATTTTTTGGAAGGAGGATATCAAGAAATTGCCATTCTTTCAACACAGATGAAAATAAATAAGTGAATAATATCACAACGTGTTAAATAAAAAGAGTATAAGCAATAGTTGAAATGATATGAAAATTAGGATGAAAGTTAAAGATAAAAATTAATATGAAACGAGTGTTATTAATGTTGATAACAATGGACGCCACAATTACCTTTTTAAAAAGATAAAAGTATTACAATGTGTGACGTTAATAATTATAGTCGGACCTCTATATATTGAATGATGGTTCCTTCGATAATATTCGATATGTAAAAATAAGTATGAAATGTTTGCAAATGCATTTGTAAACGTTATCTAAACTTATCTAACCATCCACACTTCCCTGACACTCCACATATCTCGAACGTGGAGCATTTCTCCGTGGCTTTTTCTTTTATAAGAGATCCTAAAACTGGCACTTCAATTCCTAAACAAATCCACCCACTTTTAAGCAGCTTCGACCCCACCGTATAGAGTCAATTTGTTCCTTTTCCGATCTCCTCATACAGCTTCAAGATTTTTGAAATATTTTTGTTCGGGTTTTTCATCATAGTCGAAGCTGTACCAGGTGGTATTCCATACTTCTGTCACTATTTTTTTGTTTTTTGCATACCACTATTTTTTTGTTTTATCCACATTTTAGATAAAGTTCACTTTTTTCTGCGACATTAAAGGATTTTCAACACTCTTCCTAAGCATGTAACAGCAAAATGTACCTGCGCTGGAGAAGTACTATTGTAGAGCAGTGCCAAAAGACGAAGGGGGACGAAATTCACCTTCAGATCGCTTTGGCGTACGCATTTCCACGATTGACACGTTCCCACAGACAAGGAAGCAGGAGCGAGTTAGCTTCATGAGAAAGCTGAGGACTGGATGTAGAAAACGCGTTTGTGTTTTATAAATAACTAACGTACGTACCCCGCGTTGCGGGGGGTATTTATCATAGGTAATACCAAGAGTGTTTTGGAAAATGTCGATAAATTCCTGACTCGCGAAGCGGGGAGAGGATTTATCTGAGAATGTCAAAGCACGAGTGGTATTTAATAGGACTATTCCACGAGTGAAATTTTGTCCAACAAAATTCACAAATGCGCCAAATATTGAAAATAACAGAAAGCGTATGTTAAAATAAAAGGTTATATTATAGTACATACACGGTTTATTGGACATCGACATAGCGATCGATGTATACCACCTCCTAAGATAGATGAATCACAGTTTATAATTGGCCAGTAGATAGAAGCGGTAAGAAAAATCGGATAGAAAAAACGAAGTTTTTGAAATACACCGCCGTGATTAGGGCATTTTGTATACGTAATTAAATACTATTGGTTTTTAATTGCACGAGTGTAATAGTCGCAATAATTTCTTAGACAGGAATAGGTATTCCATCAACTCCCGCCCTGCCGTGGAACCTACTTGTATCTATTCTATTGTTTTCCCTCTCCGCCTTGCCCAACCTCTCTCTGCCTTGCTCCCACTTGGAAATACCCTGGCTTCCTCACTCACTTTCTCAAGAAAAATGTTTTTATTTTTTATTTGGGGTTCCTGCCTCCAAACTTAACTCACTTTATAACTAACAATAATAATAAAAAACCAAACCCCCAAAAATGAAATGGACTCATATTATTTTTGTGGAATTTTATATATTATTCCCATATTTTAAATCAGTTGTCACTTTCTAAAACTTCTTCTTTTACATTATCATTTAACGTATTTATAAAAAATGTTTGAAATTGATTTTTAACCCAAACCAGAGGCAATGAAAATATAAATGAAGTGCTTTTCATTGAATTAGAGTTCGCGTTTTAGGATATCATCTCCAAAAATCCGAGATCACGCACATAGGATCCCGGCTTTTCCAACCTTTTTCTTACCTAATAATTTGCTAGTTAAGCTAAAAGCTCTCTATTTCCAACAATCTTTAAAAACAGTGTTGACACACATTTGTTCAATTCCTTCCATTTTTCACTATTTTATTTGAATACTACTTTTTCTTGCCGAAATTTCATCAATTTAAATAATTATTCCTTCATCAGCTTTCTCCGTTTTAATAAACCAGTTCCTTACAGAAATGCATCCATTTGTCACAGTTTTAGACTAATTCGTAAATCATTCATAATAATTTTCACTTTCTCACCCCGACTCATCCCGACCTATTCTGTCCCACTCGTAAATACGTAATAATCATACTTAATGTACAACTAAAGTAATAACTATTTCATGTAGATCACTTGTCTGCTTTCATACCTTTTTTACGACAATACCAACCATTCGTCAGCAAAATGTCGTTTTCCAAACATTTCATTTATGAATAAGTATACTTCTACAATTCTACTAGTACACTTAATACGTTCACGCCTAGATGCAATTAAAATCTACATTGAAGTTACTTTTAAGAATTGAGTGAAGGAAAATGGTCAAAATTATTCTTAAATATAAATATTTCGCTTTGAACAATTGACGGAAGATTCAAAAGATCTTCTGCTATTCGACAGACATACGCGATTCTGTGAATTGATGAACTCAATCGTAGTCCTCAGTCGTCATCCGGTGGTGGCGTGCAGACAGACTATTGCACATTCTTGAACTGAATCTGTGATGCAATGGTAGGTGGAGAATGTCCAGAAAAGTAATATTTTGTGAATATATGAAGGTTTATGGCTGTAAATAGCACTCCTATAGCACTCCTGACCAAAGAAAGCTAGCATAAAAGTTTCATTGATATTAGTCCAGTACATTTAGATTATCGCGATGTAACCCATGCTCTTGTCTATAAATTACTATAGATTATTTAATTATACAAACGTACAGAAGGAAGTTTTACTTTCTGCAGTAATACTCTTCTTCCAAATTTGAAAAAGTACTTATTTTTACGTTCTCGCTGCTGCTTACGAAGTAGAGAGAAAGTCACGTAATACTGCGCTAAAAAACGGCGAATTTTTGACAGAAAAACTTTATTACAGGGCCCTGGTAACGAAAAAGTTGAAAAATTCAGCTGCTAAATTTACAAAAAAGTCCTCTCACACGTGGTATAACCAGAATCCATGTTTTGTGGCTCCCGTACAATTTTTCGAAAATTTGATAACTTTTCGCTTAATATAGTGTGAAAATACGGGCAGAAAAGAAAGTACATACTGTTTTAGTACTATAGTTTATAAATATTTATAGTATCTACTGCACGTGTTTAATTCATAGTAAAAAATAGTAAAATCAGAAAAGGATTTGATATATAGAAATAATTTTTGAAAAATAGAACATTTTTAACGGAATTTTCATGAGACAGAAAAATATCGATTTATTGAGAATCTTGATAATATATAGATGTTCAATATATGGAGATCCGACTGTATTGTTTCTTAACAGTAGATTTAAACAGTTAAAAGATATTCTTTACCGTACAAAAGTGTGTAATAATTTGTGTTGATATCATGCGCCGGAAAACGGCAAATTTTCGGCGGAAAAAACTATTATTGTCGAGACTTGGTAATGAAAAAATTGATAAATCCTGTTGATACAATAGAAAATTGCTTTCTCAAACACGTGCTGTGGACAGAATCCGTTTTGTGGGTCATTGACACCGAAAAATCGATTGGCGGTAAAAAGGCCGCCAGTCCGCCCGCGGTCAATGCTGGCGCCTAACCCCATCAGCCGATTTTCTTCGAAGTTGATATTCCCCAATAGATATGAACTGAGTTTCTTCCTATTCCGATACTTAATTTAAATTTCTTCATACCCGAATCAGCTCGATCCTTGGTTAGTTAAATCGGTAACAAATGGCTGTAATTTAACTTTAACAATTATAAATGAAAACATTTTCGTAGAAAATGAAAAGTTGGAAAGTGAAACGTATAGATTATTTACAGTTGTTTCTTACTTCTTGGATGTTAAAATTTCACTGGTAAAGGGAATTTAGAAAACACATTTGGAAGAGATGGTTCAAAGACTAAAAAATAACACTTAAGTGTTTTTAGTTATAGAGCCCCAAACAAAAAAATTTTTTTTAGTAAGTCTTTAAAATAAAATATCCCAATTTCTTCCACATGTGTTCCAAAACATCTAAAATTCTATTTTAGTAATTCATTGTTAACTGTAATTTCTTTCTGCAAGTAATATGATTTACTCTTTTACAGCCATGCTATTGCTACTTACCTAGCCGACAAGTATGGCAATGATGACAAATTTTACCCAAAAGATGTGAACAAAAGATCTCTGGTGGACCAACGTCTTTACTTTGATGCAGGTGTCTTATACAAACGTCTCAGAGATATTTGTGTAAGTAAAACAATGCTTTTTTAAGTTTTTTAATTGTTCACGGTAAGAAAATAATATCACATCATTAAACATAACTCACCCATGTACCTAAAGTGACTAAAGTCAAAACTTGTAGGTTTGAGTTTTTATTGTGACGAAAATTGGGTAGATGGCACTCTATTAAAAATGAAGAGTACAAACTTTTTGTCGGCCTAGTCCCGCCTGCGGAAACACTTGTCAACTCTTGCAGCTTCCTGCACTCATCTCATCGTTGGCGACCTCGGCTATCCAGGCCGGCACCACCACATCTTGTAAAATGGGCGTAGCCTCGAAAAGTGCAATAATAATTTTGAATCATTCTTCACACCTACATGACAAAACATTTGCATTTTAGAATAAGCTACACAAGAATACATTTTAGAATAGAATAAGCTACACAAGAATACATTTTAGAATAGAATAAGCTACACAAGAATACATGGATTTCGGTTCAACAGAGTTATGCATTTCGGTACAACATTAATACCAAATTTATTTTGGTATTATGTACTTTTTGGTGTAACCAATGTACCAAAGTGAACATTTTGGTATAATTAAAATGAACACTTTGTTACACTATATGTTCTGGAATAACACAATTGGGAAATTGTATTATTCAAGTAATCAAGTAATACTTTTTTGCAGTTTCCCTAAGTCCCCCCCCTAAATTTGATTTTCACTTTAGAAATTAGTATACGCTATTTGGATATGAATAATTTATAAATATTACTAGTCTACACTGTCATATTTGTATCAATTGTCATTGTTGCAATAGAATTACGTAATATAATAAAATTATTTTACAGTTCCCGGTTTTCTTTCAAAATGTCGACACTATTCCAGAAGAGAAAAAGAAATCTGTCCATGAAGCTCTAGGATGGTTGGAAGAATATTTGAAACCTACCGGATGGGTGGCTGGTGATAACATTACCATTGCCGACGCTCTATGTGTCTCTTCAGTGACAACATATATTGTAAGTTTTACATAATATACGAACTTCAGATTATACTGTTACCAAGACTTTATTTGGAAAATTGGACTGCTGTATAGTAGTTGTTTAAGAATAACCTATAACATTCAAAATCAAATTTTGGCAAAATTGCTGTTAATAACCGCACATAAAACGTGTATTTTACTACGGACATGTTCCAAAACAACTATACCATAAATACTTTCTTTAATTGCAGGCAGAAGGTATTGATCTGAAAAACTATCCACAAGTGACGTCGTGGCTGGCGAACTGCCAGAAGAATATCCCAGACTTCGATGCAGTAGACCGTGTTGGAGCAGATGAATTCCATGCAGCATTCAAAAGCAAATTGAAATCTGGAGAGATTTGATCATCTGTTGGCAAATGTTCACAAACCATTGTGACAAAAAAAAGTTTCATATCACTTTGCACCTTTCGCACAAACTTGTATTGATATTCTCAAATAACGCTTTTGCTGTATTTGAATTCCCAATTCAATTACCATTATATAAGAAATAATGTACTGTTAATGGTTTGAATAAAATAAGGTATCTTAAAATTATTATTAAAAAGTTAAGAATCATGGACGTCCTTAGAAATCTAATAATATTTATTATATTGTCAACTTTCAGAGTAGACAATGAAAACTGCCTTTCACGACATCTAAGAATTGTAATGATGATTAAGACCACAATTTTCAGTGTCAATTCAGCAAGTTTTAGGACACGTTACGATTACAAATTAACAACCTTGTCACTAATTCGAATTTCAGTGAATAGGTGTTCTAAATAGAAGACTAATCCATCCTTCGCAATCCTTCGCCTTAATACAAATGCGCCATATTCAAGACTGAACTGTTCAAAACTATTCTAAAATTGAAAAAAAGTGGCGCACTGCAGAATCATTAAACATATTTCCTAGAGTAGGCCTACCCAATAAGCTGGATTGTGGGCATCGCTGGGGACTCTTCCTCCCCTGTGTTCCCACGAACAAGCAGAGAGAGATTGTTGTACTGTAAATTCCACTAACGAAACCAGCAGAAAAACGAAAGGTTATCATGGACTACAAATTTCAGTTCTCTTGCTTGCATTATCTTGTAATATGAAAAGGAATCTGAAGTATTTTCGAATGGAAGACTGAGAGAGCAGTTTGTGAAGAGTGGAAGGGTTACTTTGTACGACCAATCACGTCAACGTCTGCACACCTGTTCTTCCCAAAACTTTACTTTACCCGTAGGTCTCGTGGCAACCCGTGTGGCCGTGAATGCACTAAGCAGTGCCTACGCCCTCTGTTTTGGTCGAAGTTGCGGCTTTGATAGTAAGCGAATCTGTCTGTTTTACGGATACCAGAGTTCGCGAGTGCAAGCAGTTTTAGGCCGCAATTTTTTGGGGGTGAAAAAAATCCCATGATTTTATTCACTAGGGAAGTAAATCTGGCTGTCCCATGTTGTAGATGGACTGCGTATAAAATATTCTCAAGCATAAAAGAAACCTCTGAGCTAAATTCGAAAAGCGAGTTTCGTCGCCCGAGTGATACCTTCTTTTTCTGCTAGATGGCGAAAGGAACGCAGCGAAATTTGCGTGGTTAGGCCGAAAGCAGGTTCGATGGTCTGAGACTCGCCTCGGAAAATGAGGAATCGTAGAATTCATTTTGAATTTAACCTACAAGCAATTGTTGCACATTCAAATAAAATAGACGATAGAAAAAAGTACTGCTCGTAATGAAAGATTTCGCAATTCTGTGCAAGATTAAAAACCAACAGGATCTTAAAAGTGCCCAGAGAGTTTATAAAGATAGACTGAGAGCAGTCTGTTTGTGAACACGTCATGAAGTATTAAATTTCATGGATTTTCTGCAACTTATTTTCATTTGAACTTCCCATTATTATTTTGCTTGATTTTTCTCTAGTTCGCCAGAACATCTTAAATGTTATAACTGGGAAAGCGTGACAGGAATACGCGTGTAAAATAAAAGAATATTTTCTACGAGATCGCAATAACCCTGTATCGAAGCGTTTATGCAAAACCTCTCCTACAGAGCCGACCTGGATGACCGAGGTGGCTAAGAGCGTCCCGACTCAGCGCTTCGGTCCGAGGGGTCGCGGGAGTGGATCGCGCCTTGGGCATGGTTGTCTGTCCGTTGACTCTCATGAATGTGTTGTCACGGAGGGCCTCGCGTCCTTCTGACGTCAGGTCAGAGGGTCCTGCAAGTGTGATTGTGTCTAGTGTACGCTGTAGCCGGCTGTTGGCTGGATAAAAGCCCTGGGGGGGGGGGGGACTCCCACAGATATACTCTCGTGGATCCTAGAAGAGCGTAAAGCTGACAGCAGCTGCAAATTTAGTTGATGAGGGTGCTTCACGTGCAAACATAGTACTAGTATTGGCTAAGCATTGCTGAAGAAGACATCGTGCATCGCTACACTTCTGTGTGTTGCACGCACAGAAGTTCCCTATAAGAAAACAATTTACTATCACAAGCAATTTATCCCAGCCTCACGTGCTTTGCTCCCTGTCCGTCTGGTGGACGTGGATGTGAGCAACGTTAACACATTTTCCAAAGAACAAATAAAAACATACTTTATCAAACTGAACCCTATGCACACATTTACTACACTCAATGACAACGGTTTCGCCGTTGGGAACAAGCAAGTGTATTTAGTGTGTTTATTTAGTACATATATAACTTAGTAAGTGTTCACTTCCGGTGTAAGTTACTTCTTAGGTCGTAGTGTGCGCGACCATGTAATGTTCGTATTAATTTATATTTTTTTCTTGTTTGGAAGTCGTACCTTGTATTTTCAAATTGTAGAAAAAGTCGAGATTATTATTTTGAATTCTGTTAGGCTAACGACAATGCAAAAAGTACGATCATATAATTCAAAATATAAATGTAAATAAATTAAGTGAAAGACGTATTCTGCGTTGTAAAATGTTTTCATAATAAAAGTAAGATTATGTTTCTGGGCCACACAAACACTTTAGAACTGGAGTGATTGCTCTCAAATTGGAAGAAATACTTTTGAGCGGTCAAGGAATCTAGTGATGCTAAAGAATGGCACAGACTTATGCTTGTCTAGTTTCTAATTTCTTGATCTGGGCTAGGTTTTCAGACTTGCTCCGTCTTCTTGCCAGCCGCCTTGTATCGCCGCCCAAAGTACATATTTTTGAAATTTTCTCAAATTTTCGGTGTTCGAATGGTAGAACCGAAATAATTTTTTAAATATACTATTCCAGAAGAGTAAAACTGCATTCTATATGCAAATGTTAGTTACAAAATTGGAGTCGTTAAGAAAATGTTATTTAAGCCTTACTATGAAAGCGAAACTTGAAGCTCTTTCACAGTAAATTTTTGTATTTTAGAAAAACATTTGAAGCACTTTTATTACAAAATTACCTTAATGTATACAAATAATAATAACGCGAGATATATTAGAAATACATTTTTGTAATTAAAAAAACGAAAGGATGTACCAAAATTAATTTCGTCATCTTAAACAGTCCAATTAGCACTAAACGTCCGAAACGTTTGAAGAAACATTTTGGTGTAGTTTTTGAGAAAATGGCATTTGAACGTTTCTGAAAAGTGTGTGAAAACTTTCTAATAGGGGTGTCCAACTTGCATGGCCTCCAGAGCCACAACTAAAACCTTTAATATGGTTGTGGGCCATATTTCCATTTTTCGGACGATCCACTGACCTGTCTTCCCCGTACTGTTGATCAAGACAGTTTGCTCAGCTGCTCTGAAACGGGAGGGGGGCTTTTATGGTAGGCATGTGTTATTGTTAGGCATGCGTATTATGATGCAGTGAAACACATCGGGATGAGTTTGAATTAATGAATTTACTAGAATAAAATCCTTAAATCTAAACATAACCTAATTTTACCGTAAGAGTGTTGACCCCGGTAAGGCGCATGCGCTTGGCACGCAGTGTTCTCACCCGACATGGATGCAAGGAACTTTCCTTTGACTTTTCGCGCGCAACAATGGCACCGCGGGGCGTCAGTTGGACAACCCTGCTTTATAA